CAATAAGGGCTTTCTTAAAGGGACAGTTCTATTGGCTCCCAACAACTGTCTGGTTACTAACATTCTTCAAAATGTTTTATGTTCAACAGAAGAAAGAAACTCATACAGGTTTAGAACAACATGAGGGTAAATAAATAATGACAACATTTTTATTTTGGGGTGAACTAGCCCTTTAACTTTCAATTTTTTTTCTTGAGGTTGGTTGCATTCAGATAAAATCAATGTTGAAATAAATTTCCTTTTCAATTCCTCCGATGATAATAAAACAGGTTGCAAAATGAACAAAAATTGTCCTTTTATGGCATCCAACCCATGACTGTCCTATAAAGAAGTTTTTTTTGGTAAATGTCAGATAAAGAGGAGGATCCTGATGATCAGAAATATAAAAATACTCATCCATCGCCTGAACATTCACAAGATTCTGAGCGCATACGGTGAGTTTTATCATTATGCAGGTCTCAGCAAATCTATAATATGGTTTCTTTCTTTAGAAAATGACAGAATGCATGTTCATGCTCAAATAAAGTGACTGTATTTGTCTGAACTGTATTTCAGGTGCATCTGATCCTCCGAGCTGGACGTCTGAAGCGATGATCACAAACATGATTGTGAGTTTCTGTATGTGAGAATGTGAGTGTGATTTTGTCAGACGTCGATCATCAGACTCAGATCTTGAGTTTGTGTCTCTCAGGTGTTGCTGTGTTTGTCTGCGCTGTTTCCCGTCTTGATGAGCACTGATGAGGTCAAATCAGATTCTCTTCTTGCCAGAGACTGCTCTGATATTTATGCGAGTGAATATAGTACCAGCGGCGTGTACACCATCACCTCAGCAGATGGAGCAGTGCAGGTCTACTGTGATGTGGAGTCCGGCGAAAAAACTGACAGGGGACACTGGACGGTATGCATTTCAATGTGTTTTATCTCGCAGAAGGATATTTTATAATCAGATGCACCCCAGTGTGAATGACACCACGATTTCTAGTAACTATAATAAGCAAAATAGACTCAAACAGTCGCTCAGTTCTTTTATCTGTTGGAAATCACACAACAGAATTTACATTTGTGACACAACAAAGCTTGTCAAAACATCTTCTTAAAAGATGAATGATGTGTGAAAAATAAGCTTTTATGTCATAAAAATGTTAAATGGATGAATTATGTGAAATGATGTGATGTGTGAAAGCGATGAATGATTTCTGAATGTTTCAGGTGTTTCTCAGGCGAATGGACGGCGAGGTGAATTTCTTCAGGCCATGGGAGAGTTATAAGAAGGGTTTCGGTAATAAAACAGGCGAATACTGGCTGGGTGAGTGTTTTTGTGAGACGTTTCAGGCTTAAAAAGGCAAACAGTGAAAGAATAAACAATCAAGGACTGCAGTATAAATGCAGATTATATTTGTTGTTAAAGTTATTAAACCAGTTTCATGATTTTAACAGGATTAGAGTTTCTTCATCAGCTGACGCGCAGGCATCAGTATAAACTCAGAGTAGATTTGGAGGACTTTGAAGGAAAGAAGGTTTACGCTCTGTACGAGTCTTTCTCTGTGGACTCTGAGGCTGATGGGTACAAACTGCACGTGAGCGGCTTTGTAAATGGAGGAGCAGGTGAAACAAACTACAGATGTTTCATTTTCCAGTTTCCGAATGCATGAGTGAAATGAAGAATTTAAGCACATAAAATGATAGTAATGAAGGAGTTTAACTATAATGTTTAACCCTTGTGCGTCAATTAAAAAAAGTTACACATAGGTCCATAACCCTAACCCTAACTGTCATAAAAATTTGAAGCTAAAAAAAACAAAACTGAAAAGGACAAAAATGTCCAAAAGGTCGCACAAGGGTTAAACTAATACTTTTAATAAAACATATTTTATTTTTGTATTTTTTTAAAAGTCACTTTATTTTAGACGTCTAAATGAAAGTTTCTCCTTTCTGTAGGTGACTCTTTATATTATCACAATGGGATGATGTTCTCCACCTATGACAAAGACCAAGATAATTCAGGAAGCAATTGTGCTATGATATACTTTGGAGGAGGGTTTTGGTACAACAAATGTTATTACACAAACCCCACTGGTCACTATTTGTGGGAGAATGATGATACATTAATGGATACTGGAGCCACCTGGTATTACTGGAAGAATAGCTGGGATCCTCTGAAGACCATCACCATGAAGATCAAACGTGTGAAGTAGAGCAGAGCTTATAAACGCTTCACTGCAGCTTTTGCGCACATCCACAACTTCATGCATACATGTGGAACTTTCTTAAAATATGGTGACAAACAAGTCCCTTGGCTTTTTATGATGAAAAATGTTTCAAAACGTGAAGAAACCTCAAATATGAAATAGTTTCACTCATATCGTCTTGAATGAAAATATATTAAAAAAGAATTTGACAGGTTCCTGAAAAATCCCTGGCCCTCTTAAATAAAAATGTGTTGAAATTGGGCTCATGACTTGAAGCATTTGCTTTTTTTTGCGACAGCAAAACCTCTGTGTCCCACTGCAACAGCTGGAATAAAGCAATAAAAGTTTATTATCAAAGCAATATACAGTATATATATTTTTTTGATTAACTAACTAAATGGGTCTCATATATGAATGAGGAAAATACTTACATACAGGCATATTAATTTTTACATATTTAATTGCCCATATTTTAATTGAAGATATGTCAGCAATACTATGAATGCAAATTTAATGATTTGCATGCAAAGATGTCGGAAATGTAAATCTAATTCAAGAAAATATTACATAATAACCCCATTAATTACAATAAGTGTTACATTTAAAAATAATAACACTAGTAACAACATGCCACTCGGGGCCTTTTGTGCAAGTTCTGGGTGGCTCATCTTACCCCACGGGCCTATATATAATTTTAATGTTATAATTTTAATGTTAAAAGTTTCACACAAGGCAAGGCAAGTTTATTTATATAGCACATTTCATCTAAGGTCTGTCTCCAGAATCACACCAAGATTCCTGACTTGATTTTTAGTTGTTATACCCCTAGAGTCAAGGTATGCATTCACCTTAAGAACTTCATCTTTGTTTCCAAATGCAATATATATACTTTGTCCTTTATTTATTCAGGAAAATGATCTGTAAGTGGCAAACGTATTAGCAGTTAATTTGAAACAAAAACACTGTGAGAAAACAGGAAACAAAAACAGAGGGTAGACACACAGAGGTAACTGTATTCAGTCAGGTCTTCTGTCACGGCACGCTGTAGGAAGGAGTATGAGGGAAACGAGGAGTACACTCAAAAGTCATTAATCCAAGGAACACAGTACACAACGAGCAGACCCGACAGAGGAGAAATGCACAGACAAGAACTTATAAACACAGGATAATTACCAAACACAGGTGCACAGAATGACTAATTAACTAAACGAGGTCATGACTTAATACTTCCCAGATGTCCTTCACTCCGGCGCCGGGACATCACGGACCCTGGGTTCAGCACCCGCCACGGAAGACATGAGCCAGGCCCCGGGCAACGACCTCTCCCCCTCCGCTGCCTCTGGTCTTCGATATCTCCACCGGAACCGCTTCGCTCCCCTCCGCGAGACGGAACGCGATGCTGTGATCATCGGAGACTCCATCGTGACACTTAATTTCCAGCGATATCGTTGACTTGATTGCAAATGATTGCAAAGATACTATTTAAACTGAACTGAGCTGGATGATGACATCACTGAATTCAATGATGAACTGTCTTTAACTGAAAAATGAGTGTTTACTATTGTCATTTTGCATTATTGACACACTATTTTCCTAATTAATGCTGTTCAGTTGCTTTGACACCATCTGTATTGTTAAAAGCGCTATATAAATAAAGGTGACTTGACATGAACATGACCAAATAAGGGAACACAGGAACAGAAACAGGGTCAAAACACAAAACAGGTCCATGATCCTGGCACTTCACTGCAGCTTGTGCACAGATCCACAACATTTATGCATACATGTGGATGTGAAAAATACGTCAAGAAACCCCAAATATGAAATAGTTTCACCCATATTGTCTTGTATGAAAATATATATATATAAAAAAAAAAAAGATTTTGACAGGTTCCTGAAAAATCTCTTGTCCTCTTAAATAAAAAAATGTGTTGAAATTGGGTTCACGACTTGAGGCATTTCTACATGCTCTTCTGCGACAACAAAACCTCTGTGTCCCACTGCAGCAGCTGGAATTACATCTGTCTGAAACAATAGAAGTTTATCAAAACGTTGTTGTTGTGGTTTTGTATTATATTAACCAACTAAATGGGTTTCATATATAAATTAAGAAAATATTTTATGTAAAAACAATGATAATGTATAACAGCAGCTATACGCCAGGATTATTCTAGTTTCTAGATTAATGCAGAAAACCCAGTTTAAATATATAGTGACAAAAAAAAAAAGTGATGTGACGTGGCCAAGTATGGTGACCCATACTTGGAATTAGTGCTCTGCATTTAACCCATCCAAAGTACACACACACACACACCGTGAACACACACCCGGAGCAGTGGGCAGCCATTTATGCTGCGGTGCCCGGGGAGCAGTTGGGGGTTCAGTGCCTTGCTCAAGGGCACCTCAGTCGTGGTATTGAAGGTGGAGAGAGTGCTATACATTCACTCCCCCCACCTACAACCCCTGCCGGTACGAGACTCGAACCCGCAACCTTTGGGTTACGAGTCCGACTCTCTAACCATTACGCCACGATTTCCCCTAGTTGTTCATAAAATGAAAATGTAGGGTACTTTGGTATAGATTTCTATTCAGTAGAGTGTAAATGTACAAAGATTTAAAGAGAGAAAATAAGTTCTACCATTATCAGACAGAATCTGATAAGTCACTTGAGTAAACAATGTTTTAAGTTTCTTCAGAAGTTTTGATCACCAGTGTGGTGATCTAAGGTACTCAAGATGAAGCCTCCGGCATTGTTTACCCAGCCAACAAAAAGGATCAAATAATGTTTTGCTAACGTTCCCATACAGCACACCTCGAGTACCTTATTGCTTTTATAAATCAGTTACCACACTATACAAATATTAAAAAAAAAAAAAGAGCTGATGTTTAGAGCCAATTATCCTGTCATTCATAATGAGGAGCTTTGTGCTTTGTTATTTCTTCTCAGCTCTCTATGTAAAACTATTTCAAGCTGCAATACCGGACCACAAAAAAAAAACAGGACCACATGGAGATGCCAACACACCACTATACCTGCCACCTTAACCGGACTATACATAAATATTGTAATAAACCACAGAGGAGCACCACTGAGTTTTATTATTTTATATATTTATACTACCTTTATTTCACCAGGAAGTGAGACCTGGCCATGGTAGCAGCCATATAAAACTCACAATTAAGTCACAACACACATAAAACACAGAGGCCTTTTACAGTAACAATCACATGCATTCTTCACCACCACATTCTTTATGACTGCCTTAAATTCATCAACAGAACAGTTTGTAATGAATTAAATTCAACCTGAAGTTCTTGCACTGCCTGTATGGAAAAAGCCTATGTATAAATAATAGTCATCTGCATACAGGCGTAATTTTGATTTGATATCCTTTCCAACATCATTTATAAAAACAGAAAATAAAACAGGCCCCAAAATGGAACCCTGGGGAACACCATTAGTTATATTGAGAAAGCCTGCTTTATGGTCTTCAAGACAGACACAATGAATTCGGTCTACAAAATAATTTTTAAACCAATTAACAGCATTAGGACCAAGACCAGCATTATAGTTTTTTCAGCTTCAGTTTGTGATCCACTGAACTAAACGTCTTATTATATTTTATTATATCTTATTATATTTTTCTGTCCAAAGAACCAATAAGATCATTTGTCACAACCATAGCAGCAGTAATGGTACTATGACCAGTTCTAAGAGTCACATAACATATTTCCAGCTAAAAACTAGTACAAAATTACCTGGGATTCAAGGAGATAGAACTGAATGTTTGGACTTATGATGATAATTGTTCAACTCCAAAGGGTCTCCACCTTTTAATAAGGGAAGAGCATAAACAGCTTTCCAAATGTTAGGTACAGACTCAAATGAAAACTATGAGTAGTAGGCTCAGCAGCAATGTCTGCTCCTAAATAAGTTTAAAATAAAAAATCTTATCATGGGCTAACACTTAAGCTGCCACCGCCTTTAATTCTAACCAGCACTTAAGTGTCACGACTAAGCACAACAAACAATACATATATATCATTGAAGGAATAAAATAATTTCAGACTTACCGGTCCGTGTCACTGTGAAGTATGTGTACAGTTGAAGAAATAGCCTTTCAAAGAGTAATCCATTTGATAGCATGCTTGAACGCAGGCGGACGACACATGCATTGTAGAAGGTTTCATCTGCAGTGTATGTGCTATTTTTCTCCAGAAGTTATAACCCATCATATCTTTGTACTTATTTAAACTAAAGTTGCATCTATCATCTCTCTCACACAAGCATTTGTCAAAGCGGGCATCTGTTGTCGCTGCAGTCTCCACTATTTGTTGTTGTTCCATCTCTTCAGTTTCATTTTCTACTGTGAACTACGACTGGGGCCAATGTTGCCACCTTGTGGAACAACTGATTAATGCAAATGTGCAACGATCGAAACTGACGAAATTTGCATCACGCACACTATGTGCGGCCCCTCACGTAAACATAAAAACAGAAGCGTACCAGAGACATTGGAAAAAGCGTAATAACATTGGAAAAAGCGTCACGGCTAATTTGGATCACGTAAGCCAATTATATAATAAGGTGACCAGACGTGCCACTTCTAGGGAACACATTCAGCACAGGATTTCTAAATGCTTATTCTGTGCATTTTTAGCACTTTTTGTGTTAAATCATATTTATTTTGTCCATCAAAAGTGTGCTGTCACTTTATTTGAGCGTGAGCAGCGCCAGCAAAAATAGACTCGTGCCAAAATGATCGCTGCAGCGATCTCTGCTCCTGCTCCCGGTGTGAATGCACTCATTTGCTATCATGCACGCCGAAAAAAATATGCGCTGCTCACGCTTGTGGTGTGAAACCGGCTTGAGGCTTCTATACAGCGATCTGTCTCGCCACATCAAAGAGCGCCAAAACGGCATGTATTGTCTGAATTTCCTGGAAAAATTTTATGATTTGTTCAAGGGCTGGGTGATAAATCGATAACGATAATTATCGCGATATAATTTTCCTCTATAAAATTATATGAAGAGTTTGATTAATGTTCGATATAATGTTTATGCGCCAAAAGCGTAATGCAACAGTGCAACTCATTTGAAGTGTGCCACACGGACCGTTTATCCGGCCGGATCAAAGTTCAAACTGTTGCGTGGCGCGAGCTCACTAGAGCAGATGTGTTTACTCCATCACGTCAGCACTAGGCGAGCACTACTGAGGTGTGCTATATGTGTGGTTTTAACTGTGTTTTTAAATGAATGCTACTATGGAAGGCCAATGATTAATTAAAAAATAAATAAATAAATGTAATA